GCGGTTGCCGAACCGTGGAAGGGGGAGGAGCAGGCGTGTTTATGGCTCTGCCTTGAGGCTGGGCTTGGATGCTGCAGGAGGAAAAATAGTTGAAGGCCTTGGGAGGTTGGGAAAAAAAAAAAACAAGTTGGGTTTTTCCCACTGCCGGTCAGGTTCTGACTTTTGTGAGCCCCAGTGGGTGCTTGGATTAGGGTGGTGTTTTCTTAAGGAGCCCTAGCCCAGTGGAGTGTGAGTGCAAGCTAGCCGCTGTAACTTAAATCCCTTGTTTGTCCACCATTGTGACTGTTGAAAGGGATGAAGTTGTTGCTGGCTGGCTTTTCCGGGCGTTGAGGCGGAGGTAATTCTCCTTCTCTGCAAAATGAATGAATAAATTACAGGTCAAGGTTAATGCTAAAATGCCGGAACCCTAGGCTAACACCTCTTGGGTGCTGAGTTCAGGGGAGCTCCTGGGATGTGGGGAAATAATTCAGTCCAAGCCTCTTATCTGCCTGTTAAAGTTCTTCCCTGGAAATCTCACATCGATGTGTGTGTGTAAGCGGGCAGCTCAGTCCCGCCATTGTTTGCGAGATGGAATGAGAGCCAGTGGCATCTTGTTTACTTTCTTCTCTGGCTGCTTGCTGGGGTATGGAGGGTTGGAATCCTCACCTTCTCTGGGCCCTGGCTCCTTTGATTGCAAAGGTAATTATTAAACAGGTCATTTGAAAACAAAAGCCAACAGCTCAGATTCTGAACCTCCCGCTCCTCATCGACCCCCACCCCAGCCCCGTCTGGTTGTTGACACCCACCCATTCTGCATTTACCTGCCCTCTGCTCCTCACCCCCTAGCCTGTCTTGAGATTCCAAGGCTGGAGTTAAGAGAAAATGGCCTTGTTTTTCCAACCCTTGGCCGTCAGCCCCAGGCAGCCCCCTGGCTGATTTCTCGGCTACCATTCAAACCACCGGGATGATGACTCAGGCTGCTGCTGTGCGGGGCCTGGGTGCTGGGAGGAGGGGGCATTTGGGGGCTTCTTAGAAAGGCAGCAAAGGGCCACTCCCTCTGCCCCTTTCCTTTTACAGAGGGATTGGCCCTCTTCCAGCCCCCAGCCCAGGGTCCAGTTTGGAGGACTCATAGATAGGCCTGTCCTGGGGGTGAGCCCCTGCTGACCTGTCTGACCACAGAAACCGCACCTCTCAGTGGGTCCCACTTCTCCCACTCTTGCAAGAGGCAGCTGGTCTGAGGCCCAGGTGACCAGTCCACTCTCAAGATGGCTCAGAGGTCAAAGGTCATCTCCATGTCTTCAGGGTCTGGCCCTAGAAGGTGCTGAGCACATTTGTCAAATGGCCAAAGGCCTGCCTCCCCAGCACTCTGGGCCAGGACACTGGCTTCAGGTTGTGACTAGCCCACTCATTGCCTGTGTGACCGTGGCAAGGTCTCTTTCCTTCTCTGGCTCTGGCTTTGTCCATCTGTAATGAAGACAGCACCACTTGGCCCCCTAGGTTTCACAGAGCTGTTGTGTGTGTGTAGCATGGAATGATTGTGGAAATTGGCTTTTCTGCAAGTATAAGGGGTAGCGGGCTGTGGATATATTATTTAAGCAATTTTCAATGATCAGTCATCCAGGTAGAACTTTTGGTACTTTTTTTGATCCTTCCATCAGTACCTGCCCCCAAGTGGTGGCCCATAGCCCTGTCATTTTTGTCACTGTGCCTTGTTTACAAGTTTTCAGTCACTCCCTGTAGGGGTGAATCCTCGTCATGGCATTTGAGACCCTTTGGGATCTGAAGCCAGAATTCTCATCTTTAGTCACTCTCTGGCAAATACCGTGTGACCCACAATTTACTTCCCTTCACACCTCCCTGCTTTAGTTCGAGTGCTTGCGTGCGCGCTGGCTCGCGCTGGCTCGCGCTCTCTCTCTCTCTCTCTCTCTCTCTCTCTCTCTCTCCCTCTCGCTCCCTCTCTCCCTCTCTCCCTCTCTCCCTCTCTCCCTCTCTCCCCCCTCCCCCTCCCTCTCTCCCTCCCTGGAACCTCCCCCTCCCACCCCCCAGCAGTAAATTCCTATTCAACCCTCAAGATCTAGTGCTATCACCCAAAACTTTCCTGAACCCCTCTTGCCTCCACCCCCAGCAGACTTAGTCACTTCCTCCCTCTCATGTCTACCTGGGTGGAGGCTTGGGGAGGGATGTGGCATCAAGTAGATGCCCACTCCGTGTGCAGGTGCAGCTAGGTTCAAGAGATGCTCAGATACCCTGCCTCTTCCTCTTTGAAGCCCAGAACCTGGTGGGAAAGGAAGAAGAGGCGATCACAATACAGCAGGGAAGGGAGTACCTGGGGGTAGCAGCAGGATCTGGGCAACTGCCTGAGGGAGCCTGGGAGGCTTCCTGCAGTAGGTGGCACTGTATCTTAGGGCTTTAAAATAGGATTTAGCCAGATCCTGGTTCAGTATCCTGCATATGCCACGGTACAACTCTGTGAATTAGGTGGAATGAAGGAATCTGCAATGAAGGAATCTGAGGCTCAAATGTTAAGTGACTCATTCAAGGTCATGCTGTAAGTGGTAGAACCCAGATTTGAATCAGCATCTTTCTGGCTCAGGCTCAGAGATTTGCTATTACAGGTTCATTGACACCCATATTCAACAGTTATGTCCACCCTTTGTATTTGCAGCGTGTACTGTTCTAAAGCTTTAGGAGCACAGGATGGAACCTGTAGATCTTTCTGCATCCCTTCTGCCCTGCCTCTGTGGCCCTTATCTTCTGCCAGGAATGCATGTCCCTCATCACTTCCCATCTACTTCTTCCTCCCCTTAACCTTTCATCGCTTCTCAACTTTTTTCCGTAACAGTATATCGTTTGCTTGTCTTATTCTCCCACCACCTAGATTATAAACCTTACTTTCAGGAAGCTTTTTGTGCATCTTTTTATCTTTTCCTTCTCCCCCCACCCCACTTCCAGTACCAGAGATAATAGAGTTACCACTGATTTTACCATCTGTTCCAAAGAGATGAAGACACTGGGTTTGGAGAAGTGGCCTGCTCAAGGTCACACAGCTGGGAAGAGACAGGATTGGGATTTGAACCAGGTCCTTTCTCTGCTGTGCTTAGCACACTGCTTTGTAGGCACTTAGTAACTGCCTATCTGATGGATGTCTGACTCGTGCAGAGTGACCCAGATTCCAGCCAGAGTCTTTTCTGAGTGCCTTGGGGGCTGGAAGAGGCTCGGCAGGCTGAATCACACCTGGAGAAACAAGGCCCGGTGCCCCTGCCCCAACTCTCGGGGGAGCATCTGAGTGTGGCTGGAATAAGGGGCAGAAGGCGGGCTGAGTACACTTATTCTAGACACAAAGCTGGAGGCAGAGACCCTGGCTGAGCAAAATCAAGGCTACCACAGGGCTTCGCCCTGGGATAGCCTGAGGTTCTGTAGCCTGGCCGAGGGCCCGCCGCAGCCCACCCCACCATTCCAGTCTCATCTCACATGGCTCCCAGCCACAGAGATTATTTGCGTGCATACACACATGCTATAGTGTCTCTAGCCTCAGGCCTTTGTCTGTCTGCCTGGAATGTTGCTCTTTGCCCTACCCCCCTTGTCCACCTGCTCCTTTAGCCTCACCTCCTCCAGGAAGTCTTCCCTGAGAGCACAGCTGAGCTCAGACCCTTCCTCTGGTATGATGGGCTTAATCTCAAAAAGATGTAATGTGACCAACCATGGAATATCAGCAGGCTCCTTTGGGCTGCAAATAAGCTGCCCCAAACAATAAGAAGTATGAACTTTGCACGATGAGGTCATGAATCGGGCTGTTTGAGGCTTGGTAACTTAAAGGCTTGATGATGTCATCAAGGGCCCGGTCTTTCTCTTTGGCTCTGTGGAATGGCTGGGGCAGCTCCAGGCATTATGGGCAGTCACAGGACAGGGTGGCAAGGACTCAGGGAAGCGAAAGGGCTGTTGCCTCCCAGGGTCTATGAGAAAACCTTTCTGGGAACACACCCCCTCACACACAGACTCTCATCTCATTGGTCAGAACTAGGCCCATGAGCATTCCTCCACCAGTCACAGTTACAGGAAATGAGACTATCACGAACTAATCAGGATCCACCACTGCAGCTGGGGCCGGCTGCCTGGAAGCTTGTGGCCTCTGGGAGGTGGGGCTCCCTGGGGACCCCAATTTGCTGTCGCAACCCCGGAAGGGAAAACTGGGAATAATTAATAAGTGTACGGTAAAAACAACAATGACAACAATAATAGCTGACACTTAGAAAGCATTTACTACATTCCAGGCACTGTTCCAAGCACCATATATCTGTTAGTTCATTTAATCCTCACAGCAACCCTCTAAAGTTGGAGCTGGATT